TTGACGGTGGAATAGCAGCAAGAACTGAGAGCGATTTTCTATCCCTCCTGAACATCCTACGGACTAACCAACTGCATAGAACATTGTCTCTATGAAGCAAATAGTTTCATGCTCTAGGTTATTTCGTGAAGATGATAGTCACTCATGTGGTCAAGAAATGTCTTGCTTGTTTGCTTCCTCGTCGTTTGACCATATCATAAGCGAGATGAATCCGTCTACGCTTTCACATCCTGTTCGTCGTGGATCTATTTTAATATCATCCTCCGGTCAAAGTGTCTCAATAATGATCTCTTCTTCTCTTGAAATTTTCCGTCTTAAATGTATACATTTCTCATTTTCTATTCGTGCTACATGCCTCGCCTATTTCACTCACCTATATTTGATTGCCTTGGTCATAATATGACATGAAGGCTGAAAGCAGTGATGCGGGGCAGTACCCAATGAAAACGTCAAATTAATAAGTTCCACAATGTGTAGCATTTTCCCAGCTTCCTCTTACTCGTGTATCCTCACTTTAGGTGCAAACACTTCAAAGAAAATGGAAGAAATAAGAATACGAAGACTAATTAAACACGTTTTTACTAATTTAACGTTGCAGCTTATCTCCATTTATCATATTTGCTGAGTCATAAAACCCATCACCAAGTCCCGTCATTTGACTCGACTTGAGTCAGTTAATTCTAGTTCACATCCTTAAATTATTTTAAAATCAAATCGTATATTATCTTCCCATATACGTGAATGTATCTGAGGTTGCCCTTTCCTCTGATGTTTCGCAACAAAAATGTTGCATGCATATTTTATTTCATTTTGTGCTCCATGCCTCACGCTTCTCATTAGTGTTTTAATGATACCAGCTATTTTATTACGTGGAGAGTAACCTAAATTCAGGCCTCGCCATAGCACAAGCGGTTAGTCGCTGGCTTCCCACCGCGGCGGCCAGGGTTCGATCCCGGGTCTGGTCAAGTGGCATTTGTGGTGGACAAAGTGGCGTTACGGCAGGTTTTCTCCGAGTACTTCGGTTTCCACTGCCAATCTTCATTCCACCAATTGCTCGACAATCACCCTCACCTATCATCTGGGGCTGGTACAATAGGCCAGAAGTGGCCGCAGTACAAGGGTCTTAGTCCCACCTCACTAGCAATAAAGAAACCCTAAAATTAGTGAAATTCTTCACGTAATCCTTTTTTGCATGTGCGGTATTGTCCAGGGAAATCAGATATCTCTAATTTGCAAGTGTGGAATTTATGAAATTACATGAAGATAAATATAACCTGGCTGGGCTAATGTTCAGGTGGTCAAGCCAGGGAGACTACGATAGTCTGTGTGTGGATCTGAGATAGACCACACAAGAAGTGCCTAGACCTGCATAACAATGGCCACTTGGAAAACCCGAGACAGAAACGGAAGGATGGTAATAACATCAATTTCAGAAACATAAATGTGAAGAATTCAATTGGCTCTTTAGCATGTCCAATAGCGAATTTAGTTTTTAAAGTTGTTAAATTTTGAGGTTCTGCTACCATAGAATCAGCCTGTCTGTCAGTCGACCCCGCTGTCCCTAGTGAAGCTGCATACGTACTAACACAGATGATGAACTATGGCACGCTTAAGATTTCGCTGAGGAAGGCAACGACATGATTCCCGTTGCCACTCAGTGACTAATTCTTCGGGAACTCAGGAAAGTGAGCTGACGCAATTGCAGCGTGACTCAGTGTCCGAATCGTTTCTCGGAAAATCCGAGACAATGGCAACTACAAGTTGCTAGTAGCGAAGGCTGCTGTGGCAGTTGTTAGCTCTGTGCTTTCTTTCATATTATTCTAGGTCTGGAGGCTAGTGACTGTTAGCATTCTTCGTGATTTTCCTCAGTTTATCCAGGACAGTTCATTGATACAGACTACCATTGACTTCTTTCAAATTTTTAAATAGTCACCGAGCAGGTTTGGTACTGTGGCACCAGGTGCCAGAGCTCGAATATCAACCGAGTTACCGGTTATTCTCAGTATTTCCAGAAGAATGCTGGGTTGCCAATTTTAAGATCTTTTCAACTCATTCGACTCTGTTTCACCTATACCGTTTGAATAGCGCTGTTAAACTGAACGTTGTCCAGTAATAGTCACCAATGAAGCTTTTTTACTTTTGTCCTATGGAAACTTGCACTCTGATACATATTTACCGACGTTTCATGGCCACGGCCGAGAAAACCTAAATCTCACAATAAATATGGCTACTGAAAAAAAAAATGTGATCGTGAATTTCGGATATTTGCCTTTGATAAAGAGATTTGTTTATGCAAATAATGACATTTTGTGTTGTAAAGTGATGTCTTTGCTGTCATTCAAAATGCGCCCCAAAATAGGATCTCAATTGCTACAGAGGAGTGTGGCAGCCGGTCCATCCGCAAGCGCCCCCGTTCACGTTCCGAAGAACTGGACCTGAACGTTTTCAGGAACCACCATTGCTGTTAGAATACCTGTCCCAGAGCACAGTGGTTCACCAGGCGTCATATGATGCTCAGTCGCCATGCTGCTGTTTCTATTTCGTTGAAGATATAAATACATTAATTTATTTCTCGAAGATATACATACAACACTGCGTTTATTGACGGTAGCGTTTCTCCCACTCCACAAGGTCACACGACCGTCATGTTGGTCTTGAAAATGATTAAGAGTTGAGACGTACTCAGAATGAGAACTGCTGCTTGTACAGTCTGCCGTGTTCCATGAAGCTCGGTCTGTGACAATTTTCTGAAACATGAACCCCAAAGCAAACAAGCGTCGGCTCGCACTTAAACTTCCAGGTAACTGAAAGTCTCGGTTCGACCGAAGCTTCCAGAAGCACTGTCACAACGTCCAGTTCTGAGGGGTAACATATCTGAATAGGGGCGGCAAATGATAACATACTTCGACACGAGAAATACGAACTAATTTACAATTGAAATAGCATTTCAAATGTAGTTTGAAGTCTCTTGCATTAAATTGATTTGCAGTGTTCCCAGTCAGGCAATTCATACTGGCCGACACACAAGGGACAGCATCTGTGAGTGTTTGTAGGAATGAAAGCAGAGAACACAAGTAAAATGAAGATGTAAAGTATAAACTATACCTTAAACTGAATTTTGTTTACTGAATTTAAAATATTAATGGCCTACGTTATGGATTCTAAGGATTCAATAGACAAAATAAATGAATCTGCTATTACACGGCAGAATTAATAAATGAACCATGACAGAATAACCAGTTGTCTATTGCGCAAGGTTATTTTCTCCTTTCCTTATGTCTTGGTTACTAAGTTTATCTCAGCCACTCCTGCGGCAGTATCGGTGTGTGTGTGTGTGTGGCGCGAGAAGGGGTGGGGGTGGGGGCGCTCATTGACGTGAGCGGGTTGTGGAGACCTTCGCACCGGACGGCCTTGCACCGTTTCATAATGAAGAAGTGCTGCGCTGCAGAAAGTTAAAATATGCTATGCCCAAACAATGGAGTTCTTATTAGATGTTCCGAAAGTCACGCAATTGTTATACCAGCTGTAACTAAGGCAGCAGATAACATAACATTATTCTTGGCCTATTCACAATGTGTACAGGTTTAAATTACAGTCCAGAGGGAGGGATTCATAAACATTCAAATTTAATATGAAATATGAAGATCGATGGAGAGAAACTACAGCCTAGTGTGGTTTCTGAGCCATGATTGGACCTCGCATATCTCATAACCAGCAGGTCCTAATTTCATCAAAGGTTACGGTACGGGTTCAAGAAAATGGAATAAGTTTTTCTTTTTTTTTATACTGTTAAAGAAGGGTGACATGGGAGGGTTATGGAATACGCACCAGGAAAATTAGGTATATAACTTGAAGGGAGAGGACGACTTGGGATACCTAGAAATTACTATGAAGATAGAATTAAAAAAGAATACGTTATAGAAATTAAGCATGAATATGTGATTGCACTGGATTCAAGATATGGTTTAATAGTGGGATTTGTGAAGGAGACGATGAACCTTCTGGTTCTATGACGTTCTATTGTCTGGTCAAGGAAGAGGCTGTAAGACTGAGGAAAAGAATTTGAAAAATTTAGTGCACATCCCTCTTTACAGAGCCAAAGCACTCTTCTCCTTTCTACTATGTGAAGCGATGCTCCATCAGAGTTTTACTGAGTAGGCGAGGGGATGTCTTCGGATGGCCTTTTGCGAGCAAGCGATTTTGAAGTGCGGCTACCACTCCATTTGTAGAGGACTGTGCATGTGTGGTGACCACCAGATTGCATCTTACACAGTTTAATGCCACTGATTTCTGTAACAGACTAATTTATTCATGGGGCAGATTATTTCTTGAATGTTGATACCGGTTTACATGTTGAAGATATTATCCCTCATTTATGGACGTAAAGTTTTATTACTGTAACAAAAGAACTTACCATTGGGCCTTAATCTGAGGCGGTGCAGCCTGGTCTAGATCGTCTATTTCTCCTAAATGTTGATGAATTTCTATCGTACTGCAGGGTGTTCTCCCAGAATATGGCAATCTTTACAGTCATCATTGTAAGAATCTGAAATCTAAATAAAAGTGGACAATTCGTATTACTGACTGGGTGAATTAAGCATATTTAAGGAGAAATGAGAACTATCTCCTAAGTTTTGCGCTTATTATTTAATTTAATTTAATAAGACGATATTTCTCCCATAAATTTTATTTTCGCCAGTGTGTTTCGTTCGATTTACATAATAAGTACCAGTGGTTTCAAAAAGTATTAACAGGCTAATTTTTGTAGCCGAAATGAGTTATGTTATTAGGAGGTAGGGAATGGGATTTGAAAAAAGATAACTAGATCACCTTCCTAGCAACGTGAGAAACGACAGGCTCATTACTTCATCTACTGCATCTGTTATTCTGCAGTGCAGATTTAGCGACGGTGGAATGCTGTCCAATAGTGTACTCCCGGACCGCGCGCGGCGCTGATGCTGCTGCACTTGAAGCTCTATTCGCCCCCTCCCAGCCCACAGTCTGTGCGCGGCGGCAGCTGTAGTAGTAGTAGTCGTAGTAGTGACGTCTCTGAGAGATGCTGTCTGTCAAGGTCAGTTGCTACTTTGTTATTTCAGTCAAAGTTTTAAGGTTTTCATTTGCAGCATGACGACTTTGCTGTATTCGAGAGAGTGCATCCACCTTGTAAGTTCTGCCACACATACATAGCTCGTAGAGTTGGTTGTAGTAGCTTCTGGCATGGTACAAAAATAGCTCCATAGCGGCGCGTGTTGCTAACAGCGACAGCAGGTGACCAGACGTACCTCGAATGCCGGTACTACTGAAAACAATTTGGTCTGTTGCAAGGAAGGGAGAATGGTGTGTGCTATTGCCGAAAAGATTGTTTATAGTGTTACACCTTGTTAAACGGCATAAGATTAAATACGGCGACCAGCTGTAAGTTGGAATGACGTGTGGCATTTTTGATAAGATTGTTGAACGTACTCCACACTTGTTAGACAGCGTGGAGTGTGCTATTATTGACAAGATTGTTGAGTGTATTTCATATTGTAAGACTGTGTAAGATTAAACACGGCGAGTAGTTGTCATCAGTAAATTAGTATTCCGTGTTCTATTACTGGCAGATATTGCTGCGGTATTTCACACTTCTTAAGCGGCATAAGATTAAGTACCCCACGAATAATGGCATGTGCTATTATCGAAAAGAACTGTCTCATATGTTGCATGCTATGAGATGAAATACGGCTACCAGTTGTCAGAATAAGGTGGCATAGCGCGTGCTGTAGTATTTTCATATTGTACGCTTCTTCGCAAGAATGCGGACAAGCGGATGATATTTCTGTTTCATATTCGAGAGGTGCCGGGTTCAGTTCTTAGTCCGGAGGCCGGCTGTCGTGACGGTTTCTATGTGGATTTCCTCAATCTTCGAGCCAAATGCCGGGATAGTACCACAGATTAATCCACAACTGCTACCTTCCACAGCCTTCCAATTTATTATTCATTATTCAGCCTTCCATTGTAGGCATTCTGAGCGACTGACAGCGCCGTTAAATAAACCACAAATAAATAAATCGCAAGAGATTAAGCACGGTGAGCAGCGCTGTTGTGCTGCTAATGGAAGTATTGTTTGCTGAATTCCGTACTTGTTACTTCGCATCAGATTAAGATGCGGCAACGGAGTTAGAATGGCGCGTGATATAACTGACAACGTTGTTATGTTGAACACATGTTACGCGGCGTAAGGATACACTGTGACCAGTTGCCTTAAGTGGTATCACTGAGAACATTGTTGTTTATGTTATAATCGAGAACGTTGTTGAATTCTGCACTTGTCACACGGCATAAGAGACCTGTGGTCTGAAGTAATTGAGAATGACGTATTGCACACTTATTACACCGCATACGAATTAATACGGTTACTAGTTGCCAGCAACAAGCTAAAACGGCATGTGCTGTTATATTACACACTTGTTCTGCAGCAAGTAACTTAGAAGGGCGTGTATACTGGAAACATTCTTTGTTCTAGTGAGCATTTGTTTCACGGCAGAATTCTTGAATACGTTGACCAAAAGAAGACTGTTCTCTTGCATACTTGCTAAACATCATAAGATGAAACAAGGTTACAAGCTGTGATACTGAGAAGCCTGTTTGTTCTGCTGCACGTTTGCCCACGGAAATTCATTAAACATGGGGATCAGTTACTTAAGAAACTTAGAATAACGTAGGCTGCTGTAAAAAGAATGTTTTTTCAGTTCACAATTCTTTCACGGTATTGCTTTAGTAAGAGTAATACACGTAGTTGTAGAGGTAGTTGTAGAGCAGAATCCTTCATGAGAAGCTGACAGTTATTCCAAGTCTTCTATTGAAAGCGAAGGTTCGTTACCGTGTTCACAAAAACACAAGCTACTAAACCCTTTCTTCAGTCAGATGAATCCAGTCCACTTTCTCCTTCCTATACTACTTATTCATTATCCTTTTTAATATTATCCTGGAGTTGGGACACCTCAGTCGGTATAGCTACAGGCTACGGGCTGCACGGCCGGGGTTGGGCTTCCGGTAGTGGCAAGATTTTTTCTCTCCTACATAGCTTCCAGACCGGCTCAGGCGCCCACCGAGACTGCTCGGAGGTAAAGCGGCCGGGACGTGGATCTGGCCACTCACCTGTATCTAGTGCTGAAGTCAAGAATTGTGGAGCTATACCTCCATTCCCCCATGCGGCTTCATAGCATAGGCTTAATTAATAAAGTACGGGGATATCTTTACCAGTAACCTCCATGAAGGTGTCTCAAGAACTATATTTCTTTCAGGTGCTTTGTCTGATATTCTTGCCCTTCCCATGTGCGCCTCATGCCGCGCCTGTCTCACCATCGTCCGTTTTGTCATCCGAATATTTGCAGCTTTCGCGAGCCTTTTGTTATTTTCTCCTTTCTTGCAGATATTGTGAGCACCCTCTTCTCAATTTCAGAGTCGTTTTCTCGTAGGATGCAAGACCCACTTCCATGTCCATTGAAAGAAGAGGCTAACTTATAGTAGTATTGTGTACGTATATTTTGATGTTCTCGTTTTTGGATACAAGGCAGGAAGACAAGAGATTCTGATCTTAATTTAATTTTTGTTTAGTTTCTTTGTGAATTAAATTTTGGTCTGACATTCGTGTTCCAAAATATTTAAATTCGCCACATGTTAGAAGGCTCTACTGACCACCTGTGTTTTGATATGTTGTGAACTGTGGTGCGTACACTTGTGGAACACGCTCCCGCCTGGCGTCTGAGAGAGTTTCCGTTTTCGTCATAGTACTTACGTTGTCACCCAGTAAATTAGCACAGCATCAGAGAACAATAAGCGATGCGTCTTATTCAGTCTCGATTTTACCCGATGTCACTAATGGCATACTGCAAAGCACAGTTGAAAGGCAGGCATTAGGGATGTTATCAGTATGAAATGCACCCCACAGACCTTCATTTTTATGAGTTTATTGTAGATTTCATTAGCCTAACTAGTTGCACGGGTATACCAAAGTCAGTGAGAAAGTTACGCATCTGCCTCCTTCATGACTCTCGGTTTCCTTGAATTTTATAAGCAACTGATATACTGCCCCGTGCAATGTCTGTGATTGTAGAATATTTTATTTGTTTTTGATTCGCTAATGTCGAAATCCGCATTGATGTTCTCTGATAGTTTTGCATATGGACGGAGTTAACGCTAAAGAAGAAGTGTGGATAAAACATGTGAGTTGAAAAGAATTACATTCCTCTGTACGTATAACCAGTTTTATTGCCGTTTTTTGTAAATACACGTAAGAACAGCAAGGGATCCCTTGCGCTGCTGTGGCTATGAAAAAGTATGTGAATATCAGAGCATAATGCTTTAACTTCCTGCTTGGATAATTTTGTCGGAATTTGAGCAGTGCCTTCAATTTACGGCTCTTCAGTTGTTAAATATCAGTTTCAAAATAGTTGAGCTCAGGTACTAATGACTCGGCTGTATGCATTTAAGTTTGCCACACACCGTTGACGACATGTAAGCATTTAATAGCTACTTAAGTGTTAAGTATATTGTTAGAATATACAAGTAGATTGCAATTCTCAGCGTTTGCTTTGTTAGATCTATGATGGCAGAATTCTTGAATTCATTTAAGCCTCCTTATAAATCTCTAATATTTGTTATTGCTGTTTATTTCAGTCTCGTTAATTGTATGTTTTGGATATGCTCTCTTTTGTTCCTGAAAGCTCAACCAATTTCACATCTTGAATTATTCTTATTATCTTCATTCATTCGGCTTGGATTGTGTAACCATTACAGTTCAGTCTGCTTCCTCTCACGTATTAGTTTAAGCGCTCTTGATTAAAACATTCTGCATGTTGCTTTGCCTTGTAATAATCTGGAATCCCTTTGCTGCAGTTTTGAAATGTTCTCTGTAGGTTCTAGTGAATTTAATACTACCGTTTAACTTCCACATCATACAAGTTCTTGAGGTTAAACCTTTTCATATGCAGCTTTTGCGTTGCACTTGAACTTCCTGACGATACAACAACCAGATCGTTTTCATTAGCACTAATGGATTATTGGTGTCACGCAAGCGAAATTTTATGCAGGTGATGATGAACATAGCTACACACCATATCAGATACTGTTTTTATAGCTTAGTAGTCACAAAAATGGTGACAATGCGAAACTTTGACGTTATGCCCGACGAATTAAAAGTAGAAAAAATCTGTGACATATAAGCAACAAGTTTTTTTTTCAAAAAAAAAATAATCGTGATAACGATGGTGACGATGATGATGATAATAATTCAATTCAATTCGTGCTTATTTACGTGCAAACTTAACAGCACAGAGGCCAATAACAAAGCTGGTGCGAGTACATAGAAATACAGGTATAACTAAAAGACAAAATACAAATAAGACAGTCTATATAATGGCATTAAATTAATAATAATTCCAAGAAAAATTAAAGTTAGCATTAACAGGTGAGAAAATAAAATAAGTACATTTCGAATGGTTATTCCATTATAATAACAATAATAATAATAATAATAATAATAATAATAATAATAACCTGTCACATGTTGCAAATAATAAAATTCTGACTCGACCAGGATTCAATTTACGATGGGCCCCCTGCCCATAATCGACAAACCTTGCAGTTTTGAGGGTCTACAGTTCCTCACTAGGCTTCATGAGTTCTTGCCAAGACCTGCTGTGATGCCCACACAGTCTCTTTCTCCTGGGATCATGACTGTGGTCATTTGCTTGCACCTAATGCCGAGTTTGAGAACACCTCTGTGTGTTCTGGGTGCTCGTCGGTTCTTTACACCACAACCTCACGTCCCACCCTCAACCGTCATTGTCCTACATCGACTCTGGAGGAGCTTAGCATGAACATCATGCCACTGAACGTTTTCCTGTCTTGTGAACTGTCTTGCTACCAACATGGCGATTATGCGCACAACAAATTTCACTTGCTGCAGGATCTTGAACTTTATAGCGCGGTAAGGATTTTAAGGACAGCTAAGTTAAGAGAGATGTAAGACTTGGACCGCGCAATGACAATAGCTGATGAAGCTTTGTGAAATGTGGTGACATGTCA